AAAGCAGTAAAAGCAAAAAAAAAAACAAAACAAAAACAAAACAGCAAAACAAAAGCAAAATACAAACGCTCCCTTGGGTCTGAGAGAAACCCTCACCTGCACTCACCTTTGCCAACTTCCAGAGACCAGTGTGAAACTGCCTCACCCTTCTGGATAATTCTTTGGGAGTCAGAAAGGCCTTTACACAGCAGATAACTTAAAAGCAAGCCCCAAAGTGCAAACCAAAGGGCAAAACCAAGGAACAATGACAATGACAAACGCCCCACCCGCCAGCCCAAAGCCTGGGCTGTTTCCTTCGAGGAGATGACGGCTTCCTTCCACCGAACGGTCATTGCGCGTGTCCGTCTCACCGCAGTCAAGAGCTGGGCCCTGGCGAGGCTCTGCGAGACTGTCCCGTGCACTGGGAGAGCCCAGGAGAGCAGCGGCTCTCCATCGGGGTCGGGGTCAGGGTCAAGGTCAGGTCAGAGTCAGGCTGTGGACCGCCTGCACTCAAGGTCAGTGGGAGGCAGGAGTTTCTGGCCCTCTCTCCCCCAGGCTCCTGCAGAGAGTCGATTTCTTCTGCTCCCTGCCTGCTGCGAGCCTGGCACTTTGCTGGTGACTGACTAGAACCTCCCGGAAACTGTCCAGACACACAGGTTTGCTCCAGAGACCAGAGCGGCATTCCCACCCTCTAAAACTGCTGCTAACTACTGTGTATAAAATAGATGAACAACAAGGCCCCACTGTTTAGCAGAAGGAACTGTATTCAATACCTTGTAATAGCCTACAATTAAAAAGAATACGAAAAGGAATACATATACGTATGACTGAATCACTGTGCTGTACATCGGAAACTAACTGTAAATCAACTACACTTCAGTTTAAAAAATAAATAAATAATAAAACAAGTTAAAAAAAAAACAACAATTCTAGAAACAGTCCCAAGACAGACTTGGAACCTCACTCGTTTGGGCAAAGTCATGGTAGGTTAGGCTAAGACTTCTAAGGGCAAAGCGATTCTGAAACAGCGGAAAGGAAATGCGTTCTCATTGTACACTGGAGCCAGAACTTTCCTCTGGTATCCACGTTGGCATTGGGTGGGGGACACTCTTCAAAGAACATCCAAGAAGTGGGTATGAATAACACGGTAGTGGAATGCAGGCCGGGGGGAGGGGGCAGGTCTCGGAGGCACTCGGCAGCCATGCAGTTCAATAGCTCTTTGCATGAAGTCTTCGTTTGCTCAGTCTTGTTCGTAGGAGCAAATGTGCAGGCAAACATTAACTCAAGGATCCGGAATTCTGAATTAGAGAGGTCAGGACTTGGACTGATGCGGAGAAATTCGGAGACAGGAATGCGGGCAGCAGAGACTTGGTTTGGTGACTTGGACCAGGACGGGGAAGTTTCATGCTGCTTTGTGTGTTTTCAAGGGCAGGAAAGTCTCTGGGGAGAATTTTTTAAACAGAGCAGCCTGTACGTTCTTTGTCGTTGTTGCTGTTATCTGCGTGGCTGGATTCTAACCCTGCCTTATAACTAACCAGTGACCGTGCCCGGGACTCTGCAGAAGATCTCAGCATCTGAAGTTGCTGATGCCCAAACCTCGCCCAGTGCCTGCTGGATGTCACCCCTGGAAGTCCTGCTTTTCCTGCCTTTCAAAGCTAAATTCCACACTGGATGCGAGCCCAGCCAGGCTCCCGGGGCTGAGGGAGGGTTCACAGCATTAGTGACCGATGAATGACGTCTTTGTTGAGAAGATTAGTCCGGCTGAAATTGATAAAGTTCACCAAGAGTCCCGAAACCTCGCTCTGACCAGTTTGGATGTGCCAGGAAGTGCTTCCTTTAAGTGAAAAGGTGAAAATTCTCCACTTAATAAGGAAAGCAAAAAACAATCCTATGCTGAGGTTGCTAAGATCTACGTTAAGAACAAGTCTTCCGTCTGTGAAAATGTAAAGAAGGAAAAAAAATGCGTGCTAGTTTTGCGGTCACACCTCAAACTGCAAAAGTCACGGCCACAGTGCGTGAGAAGCGCTCCATTAAGACGGAAAGGGCATCATGTTTGTACAATAAGAAATTCTGAGAGAGAGAGACCACATGCATGTAACTGATTACAGCACACTGTTCTGTGTTATAGTTTCTTATCGCCTCATATGCTCCGACCACGCCTAGTGTATGGATCGAGCTTTACCATAGGTATGCACGCATAGGGAAAAACACATTCCGTGGGCTTTGGTACTGTCCACTGCTTCAGGCATCCACTGGGGTTCTTGGAACACATCCTTGGGGATAAGGGGAGACCACTGTGCCCAATTCTGTGGCAAATGGAACGTGGCTTCCCAGCCAAGAAGGTTAACCATTTCACCAGGTGGGCAAAATGAATTCTGTCCATGATGACGTTGCTGCCAAGGGAAGAGAGGTGGTTCCTCTCAGTTACAACCAGCAGCATCAGAGCTCCAAGGAGAGGCACTGACTTAAGGTGGGAGGTAGATTTTAATGGACCGTTAATCCTGTTTTTGGACTCCAGAGGGCCGGACAGTGGGGAGAGGTCACTGTTGAACTGAACTAAAAGGAACCTCTGGGGTCTGGGGCCCACCCCGGGTCCCCCGACTTAGGTCTCAGAAGCTTGCTTAAGTGAGAAGCAGAGCGGCCGAGAGACTCCGGGATTTGTGCTTCCGGCCAGAAGAAGGGGCAGCA